TATCACTACGGAAGTAGATTGCCCAACCTTCCTTCCGAGGAGTGGCTGGTGGGTTTGAACCACCAGCCTTCTGGTTAGCAGTCAAGTGCCTTAGGTATCTAATATTCACTACAGAGAAAAGGCTGTTTCTCCTACTATCAAAACAAAAATTAAACGCAAGGGAACAGTATCCGATCACCTGCTTCGTACTCTGATGGCTGATGGCTACAGGAAATATACAAAACTGTCCAGACATGGTATCAGTAAAAAGGTCATGGACAAATGTATTGAGTGACATAAATTGGCCCCTGCAGGCAAACGAGTAGGGATTTGATGTGAGGTGAAGACTATGGATGCTTCTCTTAGCTGTTTTTCCTAGAACAGGAATGAAACTGACTCATTTACAGATTTTGAGTAGCTCTGGGAAAAGAGAAGAAAATGGTTTCCTTTGGAATCTGTCATTTGCAATATCTCAAAGTCTGTCCCTTTCTCTGTAAGTTGGAATAATTGAGTAAAAATTAAACAGGTGAAACCCAGAGAGCCATTCTGTCTCCCCATATTCTCATTCCTCTGTTTTTCCCTCCACTAAGAGATGCCAGCAGATTCCTCTCTCTCTAATAGACTTTCCTGGCGGAGTGTATTTATTCTGCAGGGGCAGTGTTTTGATGTGGTCTCTTTAGTTTATTGTTGATTTCCCTTGAGGAGACTTACATGCTTCAGAAAGGAGATCGCTCTTTGTTCTAAGCTTCTATTGGAGTGTCTATTTAGTCTTTGTAAACTTCTAGGCAGGACTCTGGGATATTATTGTTTCTTTTAACATGGCTATTGTGAAACTGAGGGTTCCTCACGAATCTATTGAGCACATCTTTGCTCAATCTGTAAACAAAGGGCTGGGCATGAACGTTTATGTATGTGTGGGCTCCAAAGCACTTCTGCTAGGGGAACAAGGAGCCTGAGACTGTGTGTTGACAGTGGCTAAAAAGCTGATAATAGGTTTTTAATATAGCAAGGAAATTATCAAGACTCATTATCCTAGGGCCAGGGACAATGTGTACCATGTTCAAAGCAATGGTGTGTGCCTCCCAAGATGACTGCTTCCCTGGTCCTCCTCATTGCGAGCAACTGTCTACTTTCTCATCAACCATGGGCTCAGGAGGTGGCGGGCCATGCTCTGTCTCCCCTCTGCTATGTCCAGACATTCGCCCTTGTCACCTGCTTCCTGCTCCTTTCAGTCCTGCTCAGGATTGGCTAGTGCAGAGATGGCACCCAGAGTGAGTATGTCCTTAAATTGGGTGGCCTATTCACCTTATCATCGAGTTAAACCCAACTCATGGTGACCCCTCCTTGGGTTTCCAAGGCAGTATCACTACGGAAGTAGGTTGCCCAACCTTCCTTCCATTTTTTTGGTTTAGTATTCACCTTATCCTAGTCTCAGCCCTGTTTGTAGGTCATAAGGTCTCAGTTGCAACTACTCAATTCTGCCAATGCAGCAAAAGCAGCCGCAGATATGTAAATGAATGGGTGTGGCTGTGTTCCACTAAAACTTTTATTTCCAAAGCCAGGCTGGGGACCAACCCCAGGTATAAATGATACCTTCTCATGCCTGGATCTTCACCTTTTCTTTTCTACCAGAAGCTCTCTTCAGCATTTAAACAGACTCAAGAAGGTGATCCTTCTTTAAAAAACAACCTTTGATCCATCCCATTCTTTCAACAGTATCCCAAGTCTCCTTTCTCCACAGTTAACATCGTCTCAAGTGTTACCTTTACTTTCTGGCCTCTACTTTTCTCACCTGCCACTCTCTCTTCATCTCATCCAGTCTGCCTGCTGCCTCTGTTGTTGTTGTTGTTGTTATGTGCCGTCG